TTCCCCGCGCAGAACGACCAGAACTGTGTGAACATTAAGAAGATGTTCACAGACGTCTAGGCTTCCTAGACGCGTGTCTGCGCGATATGGCAACCCTGTTGGTTAATGTCATCCTGACATTACGCAGATTTCTAGGACGCAGAGGGAATGGTTACATGTTTTACGCGCCAGTCCCATGCAGTTTGTATCACCTGTTTGATTGAACCATTGTACTGTGAGGAGAAAGCCTCTGTCGGCTTTCAATATATCTGCTGATTTTATACATTCATTCATGTAGGCAATATGTGTGTGTGTGTGTGTGTGTGTGTGTGTGTGTGGCAAGCCAACTTCACATTTATTCCTTAAACTAGTAGGCCTATTTGTTTTTCATTTTTAGTAGTATACATTTTTGATTACTAGTAAAATATTTGTCATTGAATTATGTCGGGTTTACAGACGATCAACCATTCACTTCTGACTAGCATTTAGTTACATTTTTAATCTTACTTTAACTGTAGATATTATGACAAGTTAAAGATGCAATTTTACCTGGTGAGATATATACAAATGTTACTAACTATTGGGATAGACATCAAAGCTTCATAAATAAGTATCTAATAAATAAGTAATTGAAAAACTGGAACAAGTGCCAGCAACAATTATAATACATCATTAGAAGTGAATAGTTAATCAATTATCTTCTGGAAACAATCAAGTTGCTTGTTACTTGGTGACTAGCAAAATAATAAGTACTAGTATCTAATGAATAGTTTACTGGTTAAACTGAAAATATACCGACTCACTAGTAGTAAAAAATCGAATATATATATATATACAAACACATACCGGTAGTAAAAAGTTAAAGAAGTTAATTAGTATTTTTAATGTTTTTGAAAGAAGTCTCTTCTGCTCACCAAGACTGCATTTATTTGATCAAATATACAGGGGAAAAAATGTAATATTGTGAAATATTATTACAATTTAAAATAGTGGCTTTCTACTTGAATATATTTTCAAATGTAATCTATTCCTGTGATGCAAAGCTGAATTTTCAGCATCATTACTCCAGCCTTCAGTGTCACATGATCCTTCAGAAATCATTCTGATATTATGATTTATTAACAATGTTGGAAGCAGGTGTGCTTCTTAATTTTTCAGGATTTTTTGATGAATCAAAAGTTACAAACAACAGCATTTATTCAAAACAGAAAACTTTTCTAACAATATACATTTTTTACTATCATTTTTTAAAAATCAATTTAACACATCATTGCTGAATAAAAGTATACATTTATTTTAAAAGGAGAAATAAAATACTCAAAATAGTACATTGATGATAACACATCATCATATTGCAATGATTTCTGAAGGATCATGTGACACTGAAGATGGAGTAATGATGCTGAACTGATGAGAATAAGAAAAACAGTAATCTTTCCAAACTGTTGACCAGTATTAACTAGCTGAAGGGGGAAATGTTAATACGGCTTGCCACAAAATCAGTATAATATCGTTGATGATGACAAGTTATTAGCTATTCTATTCAAACGCACTCATTGCATCGCATAGTTTGACATTACATGGAATCTTAGTCTAGTTTATTCGCACCAGAATAGGGAGAGCAGCAGTGTCGTGTATTTTCTTCCATTACGGACAAGTGTTGCTCAGATAACATCTCACTTTTTGTGTGCTTCTGTTGTGTGTTCGTTGTCCCGTCAAGAGCCCGTTCCTTCAGATCAACCAGTGAAAGATGCTAAATGTGAACTTTTTCTCCGTTAGTGCTATTAGTTATCATTTAAGCACAAATTCAGAGACTATCTAATGTGTGCCGATCACTGAAGTTCAAGACGAGAAGGAGGGGAAAGATCAGACACTGAACGCACTTGCCACTGGATACGTCTCATCACGTTGGAGTGATGCAGTCTCCATAGCGACGATAGGTTCCTCGGTTCCATTGTTGCCATGGCATAATTTTTTGGGTTTCCTCAATATTACGCCAGAACGTTTTGAAGTCTGGCTGAAGATTTTGCTATCTTGCTGGATTTATGAAATGGATCTGGTTTTTCAAAACGATCAATATTAACTAGAGTATTGGCCTATCTTCAAAAGACTATTAAGCCACGCTCTGGGATACTAAAGTGCAATACGTGAATGTTTCATCACTGAATCGTTATAGACCAAACACAGACTGAAGTACAACATGAATGTGTGTGAAGCAGAGCGCCTGCGATACACTGATCCTTCACAAGAGGCTGCTGTCTCTCCGCCAAACGCTCCGAGTCTCCCATAGGATCATGGAAAATCTGGCCTTGTCTTAAGAAACAGGTGAATCATACATTCATTACACTTCATATTAATTAACAATAGCTTGCAAAGGCTAAAATAGTCATACTTTTGTGTTGGTTTGCTTCTGTGTGGTGGACGAGTTTAGTTTCTCATTTCTCATCGTGTCATTTCTGCACGAGCACAGATGGGTTTCTTTTAAAACATTTATATGAGGCAACAAGACACGAAATGCAAAGCTATAGGCCATATTAGTCAAGGTATGGTGTTAAATACAAGCGAATACTATTTTATTCAAATATGGTCAATCCTGCCCCACCTTGGCTCACCTTGAGTTGACATTGATCTGGAAGTGTGTGTGTGTGTGTGTGTGTGTGTGTGTGACGTCACGACTGTCGTAGTGCTTCCACCTTGTGTCTCAATGTTACAGTGCCTTAATGCCATTTCCATTCAGAGCGACCGTTTTTATATTTGAAATATTTAAAAAGCTATAATAAATATATTAGTAATAATGATCAATTGCGATTAACTGCATCTAACATAAAATCGAATGTAAAACGTTAAAAATAGCAATTCTTGTTTCCAAATTGTTTGCCCGGTTATATTGATACAGTATATGGCTGATAAATTCAGTTTTGCATCACAGAAATAAATTACATTTTAAAGTATATTAAAATATAAAACTATTATTTTAAATTGTAATAATATTTCACAATATTAGCCTACAGATTTCTCTGCTTGATAGAAGAGACTTTTTTCAAAAACATTACAAATAGTAATGTTTCCAAACCTTTGACAGGTACAGTACATATGCAAATATATTTATGCGATTAATCACCATGAATCGATTTGACAGCACACACAATATTTATAATATATATTTGTATGTGTGTGTGTGTGTGTGTACATTCAGATTTCAAACCTCTAAGTCCGTCTGACATTTTTCTGTTAAATGAGCATTTTTATTCTAATATGTTTAAGGTCAGTAATTTCACTTTAATGGCAATAAACAGTTATTGAAATAGGCCTACCTTATTTTCATAAATGTCACTGATACGAGTAAAGTGAAAACCATAAAAGTCCTCATTTGAAAGAAAAATTTCAGACAAACATTTTTTTCATCGGAAGTCTCCACACACACACACACACACACACACACACACACACACACACACACACACACACACACACACACACACACACACACACACACACACACACACACACACACACACACACAGACACACACACACACACACACACACACACACACACACACACACTTTTGTTAGATGCAATCAATAGATTTGACAGCACAAGAAAAAAAATATTCTGTAATCCTTATCAAAATTGAATAAATTAATCAAGTTAATAATCATTAAATTAATTAAGTTTCTTAGATAAAAAAGATATATATATATAAAAAAAAATATATATATATATATATATATATAGAGAGAGAGAGAGAGAGACATATTAGAAAACCATAAATAATATATAACACATTATAAAAATGTATAATATAAAAGTATAAAAAAAGGTTTAGAATTCAGTTTTCATGAATGATGCTTTATGAGTTTAATGCTTTTTAAATACTTTTGTGTGAAACTCATTCAAAGAAAGAAAATAGCATGTAAGCTGTTGCACTTATCAGTTCAGATATCATTCCACTGACAAACAGTATCATACTGAAATCTGCCAGTCAGCCTGTACTAGTTTCTGTAATCATTTCTGTTCAGTCTATATCTAACGTGTGAAGGTCTTCTTAGTTGAGCGGCCTGTTTTTCTGATACATCAGATCAAGTAAGAATAGCACAAGAAATCTAAGCCCAGACTCAAGATTTCATTTATGACCCAGAACAATTGCGTTTTAATGCAGAGAGACGTGCAGACCGCTATCCATCTGATCTTCTGCAACATTGCGTACGTCATTGCAAGGAATCTAGGACAAGCTGTGTTTGTTGGGGAGCGTTGGAGAGCTCTTCTGCACGGCTGTCTTCCTCTACACTGGCTACTTGTAATGTGAGCCAATCTCATGCTGTCTGCACACACTTACCCATCTTCTGCGGACATTAATGTGTCCTGTGCGACTCTCTTCTTTGACTAGTTTAGCCTCAGAGACATGATTCTGTGCTTTTAAAAGGCTTCGCTGGTTTCGCCTGCCATGTTGCGTAATAGACCTGAATGAAAGTCCTCCTCGTGGAACACATTCAGGACAAGATCCACTTCCTGATTTTAGGTCAGGTCCAACGACCGTGAAGAAACAATGTGCCGAGTTCGGTTCACACTCTGTTATCGACACAGTTTTGATCGTTCGGTGAAATGTTGCCAAACAGGACTTTTGATATTGGATCGCTTTTCTGAATGTAACTAATCCTGCACTATTTTTGCGATGCGAATGATGCCTGATCAGATTTTCCCCTGCATGGTAAAATGCTGTAGACATTAATCGAAAGAGGGAGCAGAGACATGTCGTTTTGACTTGAGTATCAGAGTGTTCGGTGAATACTTACTGACCCATCTAAAAATGCCCAAGCAACCGTCCAGAACACCCTAGCATTGGGTCGGGATTTGTTAGTTTCAGTATTTGGGTCAGTTTTTGCTGGTTTCTGCATTTAACTGGTAGAATGTGACTTTATATCTCCCAGTTGCAACTTTATTTCGGTAACACTTTACAATAAGGTTAATTAGTTAACATTAGTTAACTACATGTGTGTGTGTGTGTGTGTGTGTGTGTGTGTGTGTGTGTGTGTGTGTGTCGAGCCATGTAATGGTGAGGGTGGGGAAAGACCTGGCAGCCTACACCCGGAAAAATCATGTATGTGTATGGCCCGAGAATCACCAAGAGTCGTGTACGACTGAAATGGTGATACATACACTATACACTCACCTAAAGGATTATTAGGAACACCATTCTAATACTGTGTTTGACCCCCTTTCGCCTTTAGAACTGCCTTAACTCTACGTGGCATTGATTCAACAAGGTGCTGAAAGCATTCTTTAGAAATGTTGGCCCATATTGATAGGATAGCATCTTGCAGTTGATGGAGATTTGTGGGATGCACATCCAGGGCACGAAGCTCCCGTTCCACCACATCCCAAAGATGCTCTATTGGGTTGAGATCTGGTGACTGTGGGGGCCATTTTAGTACAGTGAACTCATTGTCATGTTCAAGAAACAAATTTGAAATGATTAGAGCTTTGTGACATGGTGCATTATCCTGCTGGAAGTAGCCATCAGAGGATGGGTAGATGGTGGCCATGAAGGGATGGACATGGTCAGAAACAATGCTCAGGTAGGCCGTGGCATTTAAACGATGCCCAATTGGCACTAAGGGGCCTAAAGTGTGCCAAGAAAACATCCCCCACACCATTACACCACCACCACCAGCCTGCACAGTGGTAACAAGGCATGATGGATCCATGTTCTCATTCTGTTTACGCCAAATTCTGACTCTACCATCTGAATGTCTCAACAGAAATCGAGACTCATCAGACCAGGCAACATTTTTCCAGTCTTCAACTGTCCAATTTTGGTGAGCTCTTGCAAATTGTAGCCTCTTTTTCCTATTTGTAGTGGAGATGAGTGGTACCTGTTGGGGTCTTCTGCAGTTGTAGCCCATCCGCCTCAAGGTTGTTCGTGTTGTGGCTTCACAAATGCTTTGCTGCATACCTCGGTTGTAACGAGTGGTTATTTCAGTCAAAGTTGCTCTTCTATCAGCTTGAATCAGTCGGCCCATTCTCCTCTGACCTCTAGCACCAACAAGGCATTTTCGCCCACAGGACTGCCGCATACTGGATGTTTTTCCCTTTTCACACCATTCTTTGTAAACCCTAGAAATGGTTGTGCGTGAAAATCCCAGTAACTGAGCAAATACTCAGACCGGCCCGTCTGGCACCAACAACCATGCCACGCTCAAAATTGCTTAAATCACCTTTCTTTCCCATTCTGACATTCAGTTTGGAGTTCAGGAGATTGTCTTGACCAGGACCACACCCCTAAATGCATTGAAGCAACTGCCATGTGATTGGTTGATTAGATAATTGCATTAATGAGAAATTGAACAGGTGTTCCTAACAATCCTGTAGGTGAGTGTATATTACAAGTGAAAATTAATATCTCACAAAAAAATGTGTTTCAAACAATTGTGACTTTGTCTATCAAATTGTGACTTTATAATTATATTATACAATATAAAATCACATTGAGAGTTTCACATTCTATTTCTCCTGTTAGTTATATATATATATAAGTTTGGAAACATTACTTTTTAAAATGTTTTTGAAAGAATTCTCTTCAGCTCATCAAGGCTGCATTTGTGTGATCAAAAGTACAGAAAACTGTAATATTGTCAAATTTAATTTAAAATAATGGTTTTCAATTTTAATTTACTTTAAAATATAATTTACCCTGTATAAACTGATAGTCATAAACGTGACGCCTCCTTGTCATTTCTGAGTGGTGTTGGTTAGTCGTGGCTTTCTCTGGTCCCATCTGTTGGTGTGTCACATCACATGCACACATCTAATGGCCATTATTTACATGTGTATTTTTTGTATCTTTTTATTGATCAATGAATCCAGGAAAAGGTATCACAGAAAATATTTAGCAGCACAATTGTTTCCAAAATTGATAGTAATAAGAAATGTTTCTTGAGCATCAAATCATTATATCAGAATGATTTCTGAAGGATCATGTGACACTGAAGATTCAGCTTTGATCATAGAAATAAACACACATTCAAATAGAAACCCATAATTTAAAATTTTAATACAATTTCACAATATTACTATTTTGACTATTCTTGAACAAATAAATCTAGGCTTGATGAGCAAGAGACTTCTTTCAAAAAACATAAAAAAAAAATAGTAATGTGTCCAAACTTTTGACCTGGCTTTATTATATCTGACCGTTGTGGCAGCGAGTCTGCTTGAGACGTGCACCATTTGTGGGTCTTTTTTGAAAATGTACCAAGATCTGTGCCCTCAAATATCGATATTGTAGTAACCACCTTTCCTGGTTTCTACAAACAACTCATGTCTTTTTTTTCTTTTTTTGTCAGTTTTTCATGCAGTCTTGTTTCTTTTCTCAGTCTTGCACAGCAGTGAGGAAGTAGAAGGAAGTGGAGGAAGCTTTAACGGAGGCCGGATTGCCTGTGTGGACCCCAGCTTGCCAAACGTAGGGGCTCGTGGACTGCCCCCTTCTCCTCCACATTTCTAGGAGGAGGTGCCTTCAAACCCTCCCGCACCCCCCCCCCCCCTCCCCCCCCTCGTCCCGTCCTGGCTAGACTGACCCGCCGCACAACTTGCCTTTTCTGTGTTCAGTATTCGTTCTCTTTACAAAAAGAAGATGGACTCCAGTGTTCATGTGCTGTTTCTGCTGCTAAATGTAAGATTCTTAACTCCACGTACTCCTTCACGGCATTGTGGAGGGCTGTGCTAGTTACGCTAGCTCCATCAGCTGTCCTGTGTCGTCTTTGACGTTGCTGTATAAACTGATAGTCATAAACGTGACGCCTCCTTGTCATTTCTGAGTGGTGTTGGTTACTCGTGGCTTTCTCTGGTCCCATCTGTTGGTGTGTCACATCACATGCCAACTTATATCAATCTAATGGCCATTATTTACATGTGGAATCCCTTCTCATCACATCACGCAAAGGTTGTTGTGTTGTGTTGATGCAATGTCCTGACTATTGCATCGAGGACAGTTAAGCAATAAAGGCACTAGAGGCCAGGCTATATTGTGAACATAGAGTTTTTAGCGGCCGTTCCTCCACGGGACACGTTTGTGTATTCTGTCTATGCTATTTTCAAATCGTCGTTCTGTTTGTGTGTATGTTGCGGTTGGATGATTTTTGGCAGGTATAGACGCTGCTATTAGACGCTGTGACGTATGGAAGCCCATTCCGAGTAATTGTGACTCACAAATGCGACTTTATATCTCACAATTGATGATATTGTGACTATATCACAGTAGCGGCTTTATATTTGACATTTCTGACTAAACTTTTTCTTGTGAATGGAGCTTTATTTCTCTGACTTTATGTCGCAGAACGTGGATATCGCGAGTTAATTTCTCACAATGTGACTATATTTCACACTTGTCATATATCACAATTGTTGTTTTCAATTTTTTTTCTTAGTTTAATTTTCTTAGTTTAAACTGTATCTCACAATTATCTTTTTGGTTTATTTATTTGAATTCTGTGGCAGACAGTGCACAATTAGTCAGCAACATACCGTGCGAATATGGAATTACAGTGCTTCTACAGTGCACTAATTTTAGTGCTTCTATTAAAAGCGTGAAATTGATATTTTTTCCCTCTCTGCTGCCTTTCACTTCACAGTTTGTGTTAGTTGCTGGCGATGGGTTTGAAACTGTGCGTCATTATAGCGCATTATAACAGCAGAATTCATGGTAAAAAACTACAGGGTTACCACCAATCAGAGGGTTGAAATAAGCAAAACGCTAAAAGAGCTGTTTAGCTCCGCCCACTCCCATGAAGCATGAAGTCTCTCTACGCTCTCAGAATACTGAAATGTTTATATGCATATTTTGCAATAAAGTTCAAATATATTGTTTTTATATAATCAACATTTGTAAATGAGTAGTTTTTTATATTTCTCCATCACTTTTAATTTGATTATGCTGTTCGCAATGCACCATGGGATTGCAGTGCTTTTCCTCAACAAAAATATGACTTTACAGTACTTTTTGTACTATTTCTTTTTGAGTTGAACGTGCCTTTGAAAATGCCTGGCGTACAGCTGCAGTGGCCCAGTTGCACGACCTTCAATGCTGCAGAGAATCTTTTAGTCCAAGTGAAAGAAAAAGGACAGTTTTGGTCTTTTGGAGGATATGCACGCATAGGTCTCACCTTAAAGCGTTGTTCTGTTGAGATCTGTTTTATTTCATTTTGATGGGAAAATTTTCATGGATTTATCTGTGAATGACACCTTGTCGCATTCTACAGTGAAATAGTATCACTAATGTGAAACGAGGGGCGCCACATGCAGGATTATGAGTCACCAGTACTAAATACAGAGGCTCAGTGATTACTCGACATTTATGTGAGGTTATTTTTATAGCCTTTGCAAACCGTTGTATTTCTTCTGTGGAACAAAAAAGGAGACATTTAGAAAAATGAGCTGTGAATGTGACTGGAAATGTGTTTAACGACTTCACACAAAGCCAGCGGTGGACAGTAATTAGTATTTTACTTTGGTTCTGTAACTGAAGTGATAGTTCACCGAAAAATGTAAATTCTGTCATAATTTTCTCACCCTCAAGTTGTTCTAAATCTGTATGTGTTTTCTTCTGTTGAACACAAAAGAAGATATTTTGAAGAATGCCAGTAACCAAACCGTTGATGAGCCCCAATGACTTCCATAGTGTTATTTTTCCATACTATTGAAGTCAATGGGGCCCATCTACAGTTTGGTTATAATAAGTTACCCATATTCTTCAGAATATGTTCTTCTGTGTTAAGCAAAATAAATAAATCCATACAGGTTTGGAACAACTTGAGGGTGAGAAAATTATGACAGAATTTATATTTTTTTCGGTGAACTATCGCTTTAAGAACATTTTTCATGTATAAGAGTATTTTTATTTGTGGAAAGTTTTACTTTTACTTTATTACATTCCGAAGCATAATATCATACCTTTTACTCCACTACATTTTATAAAAACATGCCGCATAGTTATTATGGACAGAAGAAATCGCCTCCCGCTCAGAGACGCAATAGCAGTGTCTGATTCGTGAACGAGCTGATTCTGATTCTGTTCAATAAGCATAGTTTCTAGATTGCATGACATGTTGACTTAATAAATCCGTATCTTGAGCAAAATAAGCAAGCTGACATTCAGTACAACCTGTGTCTTTTATTTAGAATACATACAAATTTGTTTGACATCTTTGAGTTTGTCAAGAGATTTAAAGCACCGTTTTTGAAGACTGCGCATGTGCGAACGTGCTCTACTATGTAAGAACGAGCCTATGATTAAATCTGGAAATAAAGCGAAATTTGAAATATTCCTCAGATGCCATGTCTGTAATTCATATCAAAACATCTAGCATTAATTCGATCTCAAACAGTTTCATTAAAAAAAGTTATTACTCCACCACGTGCGTGACGTCAGAAACCAATGTGGTTGAACGACTACTTTGCGACAATATGGTTTCGGGAAACGGTCGTGACTAGCTAGTTGATTTCTTCAACGATGCATCGTACTATGATAGTGAAGCATCGATTTATGCCGTTGTACGGAAAACGCACCCCTGAACGATTCATTCGTTGCACTGATCTGATTGCATCTATTCTCTTCTGCATCCCAATTCAGAGGCTGCATCCTTCAAAGGCCGCATTCAAAGGCCGATTGCATCATAGGGCGTGACGAAGGCTGTCCCATCAAAGGCTCTTCCAAATTCTTCCTTCGTTCCCCGTGAAATGAAGGATACAACAGATGGATCCTTCACGGCCTTTATACCCTAGAATTTATTGAGTGCTAGTGACGATCGGATTTATTTTAGAGAGAAATTGCCGAATTACACTTTTAAACGTAAGTGTTGGGTTTCAGCTTACTCAAATATCTAATATAATATCTATAATATAAAAAACAACAACATTAAAGCAGTTCAAATGTTGACTTATATTTTACTTAGATGTGATTATATACAGTTTATACTCTTTATAATATACAGAAATTGAACATGGAGAACATATTTAGACAGGTTGTGAAACCTGTTTTGTTTTCAGACAATTTGATATAACTTTAAAAAAAAGTCCAGGACAAACATGACTGTCACTCATCAATGGCAGCTGTCACAGTTCCTCGGTGACAAGAACAATCCTCCGTAGGCTAGACCGTCCCATTTACCAACGCTCGGTCTGACCTTTGCGGCCTTCGGAGAATGCAGCCTCTGAATTGGGACACAGCCTTCGAGTCAACAACTCACTAATTCATGATCCAGTCACAGCGAGTCTCCAGTTAACTATTCACTGAATTCACAAGTCTGACTCAAAATGAGCCAAGAACGGGAGATCTTTTGGAGCTTGAGTGCACGCGCGAATGAAGGGCCGATAAAGTAAGTTACCGAATTTTAGGATTTATTATTCTAAATGAAAATCATATTAAGGTCAGGACTGTCATTTGTTTGTGAACTTAATTTGCTGTAAAAGGACGAGCTGTTTATGGCCATTGTATGAAATGAATGTCCACATTTGTTTATTACCGTATAAATGGGGAAGGTTTTAGGTAAAAACGAAACATAACCTTATAATAAGGCAAATGAATGCCCAAGCATCTTCCCCGCTGCGTAGCAGGGAAAGATGATATAAAAATAGTAGGCCTTTGTTTGCATAGCGTTCCTCTTAAAATGTTACCGGTATAGTTTACCCAAAAATTTTGTCATAACTTATTCACCCTCAAGTTGTTTCAGACCTGTATGAGCTTCGATCTTCTGTTGAACACAAAATACGATATTTTGAAGATTGTCGGTAACCAGACAGTTGACGGTCATTGACTTCCACAGTAAGAAAAACAATACTATGGAAATCAATGGCTACAGTCAACTGTGTGGTTACCAACAAAATATCTTCTTTTCTTACTTGCAGATCAATCAGTGTCTGCATAATCTTCCTTATTGACTGGCTACTTGACAATCCATAATAATTCATAATCATGTCAAACTTAGCTGTTTCCTATTTAAGCTCTATCTGTGCGAACATTATAACCCCAAGTAAGAATGATAAAGCACTTGGACCACTTTTATGCTACCAGTTTGGTGCTTTTGTTACTTTTTAGAAGGTTAATAGCCACATTTTAAGCGCATGGAAAAGAGCGACTAGTACATTCTCCTTTTGTGTTCCAAGGAACAAAGAAACCAATACAGGGTTAAGCACATGATAATCTATTAAATCAGCTACATATATTAAGTATTCCTCGGTGGCTTTTGTCCCAAATGTGCATTTTTCATGCAATTGCAGAACATAACTGCTTACTTTCCGAAATGTATAGATCATGATGTGTTTTTATGTCATAGATGTTCTGAAAGAGCATAATCTGTGCTTATTCTACAGTTTTTCTAAAATCAGGTGTTATTCTAAAGCTGCAAACTTACTGTGTTTTCGCCATAGCAAGAAAGGTCACTGCCGTTCCAAGGTCAGGGGTCGTAAGATTTTCTATTGTAATATATTTTAAAGTGTAATTTATTCCTGTGATAAAAGCTGAATTT